GCCACCTGTGACCCACTCACCAAATGAGATACTTCATTGAAAAGAAAGTATGAAAGTGGTAACAATTATAGAACACTCGAACTCAGATAGGCTTGAAAACGTGACAATTTATGCGTTCAATGTCGTGATTTGATCATAACCCTAAAGAAACAAACTTTTATATCTCACTCCAGAGATTAAATTTAGTGTAGTATTTATGGTAAGCCAAAAATATCTTGGATTCAATTTCATGAGTTATTGTGCACATGCATCATTAAAGAAGTTTAAATAAGGATTAAACGATTATTCAATATTGTAGTGAACGAGAACACAAATGCGGACAATCGATTGTATTTAAACATAAAATCCAAAAAAAATCAATCGTTTCAGACTTTATTGTTCTTTTTTTCTATGCCAATCGTTGTTCTTTTCTTGGTGAGACCATAATTTATGGACGAACCAATCGGATAAGAGATAACGAGTCACGAATTTGGGTGCGGAATTCAGCCATACATTTGGCTAAATAGAGTTTTGTCATTATAGCTGATATCAGTTCGTGATGAAAACACTAAATCTAATTTTTAGGAAGAATTATCAATGTACATGTATTTACATTCCATCTGAGGGTTAAATTGCAAGTATGTTATTGTAGTAGTTATTTTTTATATAAATAATTAAATCTACCGGAACTACTTTCTAATAGTAAGTAGTATATTTAAAAGCGAAGCGAGGTATTTTAGAGACGATAATCATTTAGGTTAAACAATAACTCAATGGGTTTCGACCTTGTTCAGATGAAATATGTCATACTCCTTGACTGAAAAGGAAGACACAACTACTTGAAATGCTAGTCGAGTATTGACATATCACGTACATATACTCACTCACATGTCATCTAAACGCTAGATATTAGGTGGAAAACTATGAATAAACCCAACTGCTAGAGGAAGTTGGTCGAAAGTTCCTTCAATGTTTTCGGCCAGAAACGAGCGATAACAATAAACACAAATCAAAACGTATATATACAGCACAAAACCGTCCTCGGGGAAAGTTACCGAATAGCATACTAAAAGACAATAGCATATTTCCCAAGTGGGAAATACCACATGAAGGTGACAAGAGGGCTTTTGGAGCGAAAACAAAGAAATGCAAATTTTCTACATAAAATTACAAAATGAGGTCCTTTTCCAAGTGAGTTCTGGGGATCTAATTTCCCCAAATTTTGTAATAAGAATGCTTCTTTATGGAGAAATCCATTTGAATTTTGTAGAAAAATGAAGAAAAATTTCAATATCATATGATATGTCTAAACGAATCCCGTTACATATACAATTCGATTGCTTCCATTAAACTGTGATATCCAACCTTAATTGATGTTCGATGAAAGCATACATCTGGCTAATAGTTAAATGTGTTCATCTAGAATATCGGCTAACAATGAGTTTATCCGTCACAGTGATTGGTATGAAAAGATACACAGAATGTGCTGTTGATTATTTAATCAGGATTATTCTCCACAGTCCCCTTCACCAATATACACAGGACGTGATAACTAGACGAGTTTTAATAAAATCTAATTTATTAATGGACGTTTCACAGATTTATAAATCACGGACGTGAAACTGGATGGTCTTATGAGAAAATGACCACTACAATCATTTGAAATTAATTGGTGAATGGTCACAGTGTTTATTCATCGCTGGAGCAACACCATCTATGTATTGACAACCAGAACATTTGCTTTCACTTCATCTTCTTTTTAGAAAAGTAGTAATAATTTGTAAAATGAGAATTTCACTCATCTTTGATGTTTGAGGGCAGGTGATTATCGGCCAAATAAACAACTTATTATGAGAAAGCGATGTTTTGTTTATTCTAACCAAGACTGATATTACACCCACGATACAGAATAGAGAATACCATATTATTATTTGATTATTTGAGATAGAATGAGGTGATCAATGATAAACAAAGTATAATCATAGCTGATTCTATAAACAAAAAAGAGGTTAACACAAATATGTTTTTGTTCATTAGACAAACACATTGTTTACACTGAGATTGAAGAATTAATCAATATTACTTTGAATATTTAATTGGATGTAAGAGAAATTATAGAACTTGATGTGATGATATTTTGAATGTGAAGGATCAAACAGAATTCTCAGTGTTTTTGCAAATCTTATTCGTCCATGCATACGATCTACAGGTTTGTGGTGTTTGTATGAAGTAGGTTTGGTGTAACGAGGGAATTGACAAAGTTTCGTGACAATTAACTTCAGAAAGCCACTTTATCTACGGTTCAATGAATATTGATTGAGACAGTAACTTAGGAATGTTAAGATAGTTAACTATTTAAATACATTCATACATACACTCTCGGCCATACCAGGGTATTTGGCAGCCATGATAAAATATCACAACGATTGCATTGAATCCTTCATTTGCGAATTTCCATCATTTGTCCATCACATTCTGCATGATTCTTGCAATCCACACCTTGTTTTTCCCTGATATTCTATTCAACTCGATCGTCTTAGCCTCCTACTGTCAGGTTTTCCACTTCCGATCGGTGTTACAAACTACTTATATCGACAGACAGAAGTAGTATACACCACAGCTGTATGATTTTTCATTCCACGTTTCTCGTCTTTCCCATTTCTGACTTATGCTAGCGAGGGAAATTATGATGAATATACAACAATCTATATTTCGCTACAATTGGGAACTCAATCACAGCTCTTCTTTACATGCTATTGTTCACTCAGCCTTTCAGTTTTCAGATGTAATCTATGAAAATAAACCAATGAATCACAATCCGATAATTCGTGTCCTCAAAAATCAATCTCCTTCATGATGTATTACACATAGTTATCTTTGTGTTTCATCAAACAGAAGTACACATTTTGGTTTTTGTTTTGAATAAACGAAATCTACACAGATTGAATACTGTGATATTTTGCTATTCACTTATTTAATAGATTGATTTGACCATTCAAATGTTGAATAGTAGTATCATTCAAAAGACATTGATGTTACGCAGTTAATGTGATTTAGATTCATATTATTTCACCAAAATCACAAGATTTTGTTAGTATCATTTTCTTAACAATTCTGAATTGAAATTAATCTGGTCCTAACTGCCTTCAGACCTCAGTATTGTAGATATTCACGAATTGATCTGGAAGATTTCTTAGAAGATCTATAGCGGCATATATGATCAGGGTGCTATCAAAAATGACGATTCGATCTACCACGAAGTAGCAAATATTTATTTATAAAGTGAAGATGAACATGATGTCTGAGATCATCCTCATCATCATCATCGTCATCATCAACTTGAAATATAAATTAAACATTCATTATGTTGATTATTATAAAGCTGTCTTTGCAGTTAATTGATTTCTGACGATCACACTGCAATTTACTTGATATGATGATATTCAACATTACAAACTGTGATCAAATATTGAGATTATAGAGAGAAGATTTGTTACTCAGAAGGTTGATGTTGATGATGTTGCATCATTTGAACTGACTTATTGATTAGTTGCTCTATAAAGATGGTCTCTTCCATGTTCTATGTGCCGAGTGCTTGGCTTCTCTACTGGAGAACAGGCACCTCAACTCCACCACAGTGATCAGACATCATCATCACTATTCATTGTTCATCTGTGTCGCTCAGTATAATCATTTCGTTCTTACTGCATTTTTCCACATTGCTACGTCAAACACTAATACTTTCATACATTTTCCGGTCGAACCATTCCATCACAAAATATCTATACATATACTTATTATATAACATTCCCAACCAAGTAATTTTAAAGTTAATTTGAGGAAATCCAGACCTGACATGGTCAGTAAAGAAAGCCTGAATAAAAAGCACGATTTATATAGGGACATAACCGTAGATAGTCTACGGGTACTCAACATAACTGAAGTCATGTTGATCAAATGCTGGAAACGGAACTAATATATCCAGAAGAGGGATATGATCAGCATCCATGTCTACCGTGGTCCACGACTGAATCACCAGACACCACAAATGCATGTTATAAACCTATTATCCCAATTCGTTTTGTGATTATCTCCTTCCTAATCCACATTGATTATTTTTCATCGTAATTACCTTGACTATACTCTTTTTATTACATATTATATTCACACAACGTTGTTATTATTATGATCACCATTATTATTAGTATTATTATATTGACAAAAACCTGGAAACTTACTACAAGTCATTCCGACCTTCATCAAGTGACCTTCCTATTTTACAAATCACACCATCTTCAAGTATTGCCATGGTAACAGATGAGAATGTTCATCATTGTTCATATATAACTATATTTAGAAACTTCTGATCTAAAAATATCATTTAAACTATATGATTATGCAAAATCTTTATTTCAAAGAATTATGACTTCTCATGGTGAAAGTAGAAATTCATTGGAAGTCACGAGGTTTATATGTGTCAGATGTTGCTGAAATAAGAAGATGAAACATACCACCATTCACAGTATAACTGAAATCCATGTATTGCATGTTGTGCAGAAAAAGATTAGATTCGAGAAATCTGCTTTCATATTTTGGTCCTAATTGAAAAGTAAACAATCAGTTCAGATCTATCATTACTGATCCTTGAATGTATTTGCATGTACGCTACCGGAGTGTTTGCATTCATTGATATGCGCATTATTTATTATCTTAGTAAATGTGTGATCATTATCAATTCTGAATTCTATGTAATAATAATCGTTATACTCTTTATTACAGAACATGAACTCCGTTCAAACACTGTACAATTTAGTTAGTACTGAGTGAAATGTTCTCTTCATCCTTGAAATGTTTAGTAAACCTGTACATATGAAGAATATGGAGTTTCAGTTCAGATCATTACAGAATTGTTGTCTTATGAGAAATTGATAATGATTAAATAAGTGAAGCTGACTATTCTAATAAACAGTATTTTCATGTATAAGATTGAATGAACTAACAGTCAATGAATTCTAATCCAGCTTACGTGAATATGCTGCAAAATTACCTAAAACTACTACTACTACTACTACTACTACTACTACTACTACTACTACTACTACTACTACTACTACTACTACTACTACTACTACTACTACTACTACTACTACTACTACTACTACTACTACTACTACTACTACTACTACTACTACTACTACTACTACTACCACTACTGTCAATGAAGTTCAATTGTCTTCCTGATATGTTGTATTTGAGGATTTAGAAATCTAATGCAAGATAATTATATGAATAGAAGTAATAAAGGCGTATATTATTGTAGTAGTTATTTTGTATAAATAATTGAATCTACCTAAAGTACTTACTAATAGTAAGTAGTATATTTCAAAGCAAAGCGAGGTATTTTAGAGACGATAATCATTTAGGTTAAACAGTAACAACAATAATAACGATTCATGATAATCACATAACAGTCTACATCTTAATTGTGCAAATGTACAATTCACTGTCATAATATCAAGAATTACTATTTTACATATGTAATCAAAACATTAATAGTCTTGGCTTTTCCCAATGAAGTGATCATTGATTTAGGAAAATATGGACTGTTATTCATTCCACTGATTGAAATCATGAGTGAATTGAAGCTAGACCACCATGGAAAACCTGGAAGCACTGGACAGCCTTTTCGTCCTAGTATGGGACTCCTCAACAGTGCGCATCTACGATCTCGCCGCCCGCGTGATTCGAACCTAGGACCTATCGGTCTCACGCTCACAAAACCCCATCTGATAATAATTATTTGCTCACCAGTGACTGATTTCAAGAAACACTCCTGCGTTTCTAATGTGAAACCGTTACCAGTGGAGTTCAACCAGGTCTGTTGTCAGATATCAACTCACTGAAGACGACGGTGACGGTGGTACAACTTCGTGGATTTTTTGAAGTTAGACGATAACACCGTTGGATTCCAGCTGGTTCAGTGGCCTAACAGTTAAGCGTTCGCGCATGAGATAGATGGGTCCTAGGTTTGAATGACGCAGGGGGGGGGCGAGATCGTAGATGCACACTGTTGAGGAGTCCCACACTAGGACAAAACGTCCAGGTTTTCTATGATGGTTTAACTTTAATTGACACATGATTTCAGCCAGTGAAAGAATTCATTTCATTGAAATATAATTCAAATATAAAAATGTGAATTAAGTCATCTAATGAAAACAGTGTGTGCTACTTTGATTTTAACCAATCAAATCAAAACTATGCACCGTTGACAACCAATTCACTGTTGATTACAAGTAACACACAATGTTTGTTCATGAAAATATGAGCACTAATTACTTAGTTTAGTATATTGTCAATCCTATCCAAAATAGTTTTCATCAATAGGGGAGTCAGGAATTTCAACCAACTGTGGATCAATATCAGGCTATATTACCTCAGTAAGTGTAAGAATATTGCTTAACAATGAGTTCATCTCCTATGACGATTGGTTAATAATTATGAAATGATTTTATGAAATTTGATCATCTTAATGGTCAATTTGAATCATCCAATCTGAAAGAAACATACAAACACTTGACAAAATTCTATATAAACTCAACACGTTCTACCAACGTCTAAAACAAGAAAATGATGTGAGTATTGACTGTTTAATTAAGACAATTGAGTGTATTATATCAATTTCAATTTGATCTAATGAGATAACATTGTTTTATTCATCTGAACCATTTCAGATATACATTTTCATTTGGTCAGTTGGTAGCGATCTATTCGATCGTTGTATTTACATCGGAATTTTTCAACTGTCATAAATTTTGTGGAAAATCTGATTTACTTAGAAATGGAAAAGTAATTTTCCAAACTGAGACATATAACTATGTAAGTCATCAATCAGGTTCCAATACAAATATTCAGTCTCATTTTTATAAATATTCCCAGTTAATTCGCTTTAACCAGCCCTCTCCAAAGGTTAGTGGAACGTTTGAGAAACCGGTTATTGGGAAGGTGAGTTAAATACACTTTGCAACGGAGATGCTAATCTATATGTTTTCATACTTCTAGAAAATAGATTTAAAATTTCCCCTAACATTATATGGTTCTAATATCAGCACATTCAATATAGATGTTTATGGTAAGAGAATTACTTTCCTCGAATTAAAATTTTCACTGAGTTTTGTTTATTCACATTTCAATTCCATGAATCAAAGTCGCTTTCATTACTTCAATAGATCAGTTTTAGGCATTTTTTAACATTCAAAACATCTACTGATGTCTTTCCTTGTTCAAGTTCTAAATCGTTTGATGTGTTGCAGCAAACTAATTACAGTTCATGCAATTCATTCTAGTCTCCAGTTAATTTCAAAGTCTTTCATTCATTCACTGAAGATTATCAATCTAATTTCATGTTTTCATTTGATAAACACAGGTGGAATTAATTTAGAAGGAGAAGGGGGCATAGGAGATAGTATCAATTATATCTCAGGCAATGATCAGTGTGAAACTGAGATTTTGGATGGAAGTGAGTTCTATTATTCAATGAGATTTTGTTTTATGTTTTTCATTCCTCATTTTTATTTTGCATAAATGATTCGGCATTTAACTTGATTAATTCGTCAGAGCTGATCAGTACACAGTGATTATTTTATTTGTGTGATTTCATGCCCTAAAATGTGTTCACAACACGTATTCATTACTGTGAAGTGAAAATGTTTAATAAAACCGTGATCCAATTCAAAACAGACACAAATTGATTGGGTAGAAATAATAAATCAAACGATGTAAATGCTCAGGTGGAAATTATCTACTCTTCAATCTGTTCGAACGACCATAAAACTGATATTTCATCAATACGACACTTCTTGATAGATTGAACGAATCAAGCTGATCACAGGTGCAATAATAAGCGATGTTGTGTGAGAAATCAGTTTGGATAATGGAAGCACATTAACTATCAATTTATATTTGATGTCCTCCAACTCTTCCTGTCACTTACTTGGTTCTTAAAAGTTCAGTCCCTCTTATTCAATGTCGTTGAACTACTGGATATTAAACAAATTCTTGATTATCATAATCGTTTGATCATGAAGTTTGACCACATGCATCACCTCAAACATCGAATCAACTAACAATCACGAATAATAGGCCGGTACAACATGATTGATTCGAATTAGAACACCTAGAATATCAAAATGAAGGGCATCCATTTTATTTAATTACTGAAATTAATGTCATTGGGATAACATTTCCGGGCAATAATTAGTTCAGTTAAGTGAATACTGTTCAACTGAAACAACAGAATTTCACAAAATGATTGTGTATGTTTATTGTCGAATAGATATTAACGGTTTGTTAGTTGGCCAAAAGCTTACAAACCCAACATAACAGAAGTATAATATTTCTCTCAGTTGATTGGATTGAAACGTTCATCATATCGGTGAAATAATAATGCGGATCATTGAGACTCTTATTTACTTGAATTGGTTCACTTAAATCTTGAATGGAACATCATAACTTGTGTTCGCACACATTTTGTTTATTGAAAGAGGTAAATATTCATTATACAGATACATGAACACCAATTTATTTTGCTTTCATTATTTCAGAGGAATATTTAGCTGTCAGAAGGTCTTGTCCTACAAACATTGACAATAAAAGTATGTATCCATATCCATGATTGTTTGATCACATGTGAACTATTAACACTTTACATCATCATTGATTGTTATTACTCAAATGTTTTCTATTCAGTTTGAGTAATTGAATTCTTCTTGAAAAACTGACAGAAGTATTAAAGTGTAACCGTTCTACAAAATCAGAGTCTAAATACACTGATTGTTGATACATATTTGACTGAAACTAAAAGAATAATTGACATACGTTTGGATACATTAGGTCATAATCACATTTTCATTTGTAGATAAACGAATAAAGAGATTCATCTTCATTGACAGGTTTCAAAGGATCATGATGAGAAGTCTGTTTATAAAAAAGATTGTACATATGTGTTCATCGGAAAATCATTTCTGTATACATCACATTCATCTAAATATTCACTGATTACACGGTCATTCTTAGCTTCTATTCTTTCAAATTAAGACGTCGTTAAAACGATATGTACTAAAAGCGTATTCACTTCTCATCTTTAACAAATAATGTGGTCAAAGTCATTTGATCGACTGATATATGTGTTACATAACTAAATAAATTCTAAAACTCGGATTATAAACAAAAAGACAGCAGCTCATTTCATTTGCTCGTAGAGTCGATTGTATCAGCTGAATTATAGAAAATATTCCACCAATTCGAATATCACTCCAACTATCGGATCTAATTAGAAACTAGATGATTTATTGTTTGAATATGAGAACTAAGCAAACTAAGCATCTGACATTCATTATGAAGGATACATGCCTATTTCATTTACACAACATTCACGAGATTATTTTCATTACGAATTCGACTACAGGAAACATTTGAGATAACACAGTAAATATCGGCTAAAATCTGATCTCCATCTGTGTAGGCACATACAGTTTCACATCTAGCAATGACACGCTCGACACTAATCCTTGAATTGCTAAATATCGGTAGTTTTCTTTTTTGCAGATGATACAATCAAGGTAATGAACCTGATACACTCGAATGGGAAGATATATTTCTATTATGAGAACGTAAGTCGCGCAAATGAATGGATTATTCTATTATTTCATGCATATCAGTACTGTCAAACACATTGAAATATATTGAAAGGGATAAAAGGACACCAACATTTTGTATTGTGCATACAGACCATATGAAACTATTCATAATCCGTTAATGACACAGTTTATTCTAGCACTTTTTAAAATAATGAACAACAAAGAAGTGATGTAATATGTAAACAAATTCTGATACCTTCGAGCCAATTAACGACAAAGAGTGTGTGTCAGAGTTCTGTACGTGAACGGTCATTCTCAGCTTTCTACATACCAGTTGTTGGGAATGTTCATAATTGAATATTTTGAGAGAGATGTTGTTAAAATCTAGATCGCTTCTCAGATTGCATTTGTTCGAATGTCACTATATAGAACTTGGTCGATTTGGAATACAATAAATGTTGGATGACTAGAAATGGCTGGTGAGATGATAAATTTTATGACCGTTGAACCCAACTCATCTTGTTTGTTTTGAGGTAATCAGAACAAATTGTGGAATGTATTCTGTTGAGAAATGAACGGCAATTGATATGAGTAAGCACATAAACACAATTCCACAACAGGACAACAAATTCACGTTCAGCGACATTGCAGTTATTCACAATCACACTTCTACCGACGGATGTAGATGTTCATCTTACTACGTATGGCCTCATTCCATGATAAATAAATCGTTCAGCTAACTTCACTGAAGCTGTTAACTTAGGCGAGTCACAATGACTTTGTAAATTAGATGGAGTATATCTCTTAGGGACCCGAGGAGATCAGTATGCTTACTGTAACTGTGATTAGTTGTCTTTGAATAAGATAATGTGAATGACGACACATTACTTCAATCTTTGGTTGGTTTTGATATAGGTGGTAGCATATTGACTGATCTTGACACAGACTTCCGTTACTTCTTTTCAGATTCCTACAGGACTTAAGAAAGGCGATGTTGAATCGAGCTTTGGTTATTATATCAAGTGTGGGCAAGGTAACAAATGTTATTTACATTCCAATTTACATTGACTTACATGAGTAGTAATCTGTCAGCATGATGTTACCTTCTGTTTGTACACGATCATCACTATGTCAACGCGCAGATTTTCTGTAGTTCATAATGAAGACCGAATTTGTGTTTCTTACAGTCCACAATATTCAGTTGTTTTTGTTTGTACAATAAATTGATGGGAGTGTTGTTGAAGTGCTGAGGAAAATTGTGTGAAATAGAATCTGAATAATTTAGGCAAACTCACCGTCCTAATGTTACTGTGTATTGAAAATTCAACGTCAATTTGGTGTTCAGAAATCTTGAAGCAACATTCAAGTGTCACATGTAATGAAAATTCATAATGGAAACTCATCCTGAAAATATTTTGTCTTTCGAATTGATACCAATGTATCTGCATGCTCAATTCAACAACCGTCATCCTCGCTGATATCGCAAAGCAGATTTGAGTTGTTGTGATTAAATCGGAATCGTATTGTCTTATCATTTTGTGCTAAGCTCCATCAAAAAGAATTTCAAGATCCACGTCAGCTGACGCTTGCCTAATTTGGCATACCAAGTAATATGACTAAGATGTATGAATGTCTTCATCACGAATTTGTAGATAGATATTTGGAGAAGTCTTCTGTATAGTCTGAACGATTCAGACAGGAATATATGAACGAGGATACTAGACAGACGATATATCTACTCATTTATTCACTCACTCACTAATACACAGTCAAACTTGCAGCCTTTCAATATTGACTATTTATGAAACGATTTGTAACGAGATAAACATATTTTTTGTGTAGATGTTGCACTGACACCTTAGTAAAACAAACTAGCAATTTTATCAATATCATTGTTCAATTAGTGGTTGAACATCGGTCAGTTTCAGAACCTTAAGCAATGTAGAGTATATTTCATAAGGGTGTTATTTGACCACCATTGTAACTGTAATTAGATATTAAAAAGTTTCTTATTTTGATCGCCTCTTAAACGAACAAACAACATGTTATATCCAAAATAGAAATCAGAATTTTAACTGTCTTCTTCTGTACAATTAATCATATTAGAGTTGCAAGGGCCTAGAATAGATGTTCCTGATGACTGGATCAAAAGTGGAATGCTAGTGGAATATGAAGTTCTCGGTGGTATGTCAAACCTTATTTTATCAGAGTTGACTATTTTCATACTTGAATCAATCAACTTTGTTTTATAAAATTGGAAATTTCATGTATGATTTCAGACAGTTATTGAACGATATCAAGTCATCAGTCACAACTGACGTTACACCAAACAACGACTCACTGTTGAATGTAGCCACGTAGTTTGAATCTTTTTATCATTGCAGGTTGTCAGAAATCTCCTCAAAGAAATTCTTTTCCTTTGAGTACAACTGACGTTCGTGCATCGGCTTCTAAATAGTCAGTTAGAGTGAAACAACAATGTCATACTCCATTTTGCTTATGGAAAGATGGTATACACGAAATATTTTTGAATCATAAAGTATGAACGAGATTCGTTAACCGTCTAGCGTGTACATTTCTTTTCTAATATTAACAGTCATTGACATCCGTGACATTCGCCTGACAAATTTCATTGTTCAACTTACAACGTAATTTTATTCAATTCGAACATGTTTTCGGGAAATGTGAATGACATTGAAAGTGTATTGAATTTCAGATTGAGCAATGTGATGACAAATGCTCAGAGAATCAAATACTCATTTAACTCCTAAATCGCCATCATTTGGTTACAGTTACATGTTTTGTAATTCATTTATCTTTTGTTTGATAACTTGAACTGTAATCACCTTCTTCTTTTCACTGAAGATTGTCCAAATCACAACTCGAGTGAAGCATGTCAAGGCGAAGCAACATCGAATACAAAGTGTATTTGGTGTGAAATAGCCAATATATGCATCACTAGCAATGGTAAGGATGATCGTGACTTCAAAATAAATGGTTGCCAGAATAAAGTAAGCAATTGGTAGACTTCGAAGATTGTTCTTAGTATTACGATATTTCAAATTGAAATGTTTTTTTTTCGGAAGAACATTTGCATTGTTAAGAATAAGTAGTGATTTCTATTGTACCGTAAGTGCATAAATCAAAGTTACTTATACGATATTTAGGCACATATGAATGCAATGCTCTATTTCCATGTGGATATTCAACAATGAATAGAAGAGTTGTTTATCATCAATGCCTGGAAAGATGTTAAATCATTTAGCTCATAGAATGTGTAGTGATTCACGATGTTCTATTTGAAACCGTATATCTACGTGAACTGTTGAAGAAAACAGATGAAATCAGTTTGAATGATGAAGCGTAATCTGTTGAAAATTGTGTAGCATGTTCCGATAATGAGTGAAAGTTCGTAGTCCCATTGTTGAAGTACAAAACAAGTATTTGTGATTCCTTGTTGAGAAATGTGTACCCTGAATGAATTGCTTCAATAAAGCCGTCAGTCATAAGTTTGTTGAATAGTGTATAGATTGTGATAAAATGTAACAAATTTCACCACCCAAACAAAAGTCGTCAGTTAGTTGTTGGATAGTGTGTACTTATCACATTGACTGTTAAATCAGTATCAGATATTCTAAATCATTATTCATTGATCATATTGTGCAAATGTAAATTATGTAACTAAATGTTGAATTCACTTGTGTCATCAATGCTGACAATGGTGTATAATGCATGATGAAATATTTGATATTTTATTATATTTCCACTGTTCCTTTCTTCTGAAGAGTTCGACTGTCAAGGTTTCCAGTGAACCAACAACTCTAGCAACTGCTGAAACTAATCTAACAAATGAATTGAAGAAAACTAGTGGAAGCACTGAATCACATTTGGTAAATATTTGATATTTTGTCATCTTTATACTATTTCGTTCATTTCAGAACATGACTACAAATACAACTGAAGGCCATGAGAAAAGAAAATCACTGCAATACGTGTACATCGTTGTACCATTAGTTATAACTTTCCTTATTGTATGCATTGGCATTGGCATTTGGCTATGGTTCTACAGAAGGAACAGAGTTTATCCGTAGTCCCAACAAACAGCTTCTCAATTGTTTTCATTAATTTGACTTTGTTCTTTTCATTTTGTAGTTTAGTAAACACACTTTCTATTTTGTTAATCATTTCACTACATTGAAAATTGTTTCATCGAACCGCATATCACATTGATGCCTGTTTACGTAATGACTGTTGTCACTTTGTTGGTAAAATATAAAAATATAATTTTCTGTATTTATGTCATTGTTTTCATTCAATAAAAAAAACATGGGTAATTTCACAAGAGGTTACAACATTGCACTTGTCAATTAACAGTATCGTGTATATGTGATTATGTGACCATTGAAATCAGCCAAGCGTTCGTTGTAAATGTCCATCTTGTTAAAGTCTCAATACTGAGAAATATCATTCGAGATTGACGTCGTTCATTGTTTTAAAGTAAACTGTGGGAATGAGGCATTAATATTTACCAAGACACCTCAATCCTTCGTTATTTGACTATTCACTATTGAGTGGAAGCTGGTTGACAGACTGTTATTAATTAGGTGTTATGATTGTGTTGAATATGCAATAATTTTAGAGGGTCTAGCTGATACTCAAGTTGGAATGAAAAAAGATGTACAGCAAATGATGAACTAGTAACTGTTCTGCCGTTGCCTTGGTAATAAGATGAGAGATTTGAAAGAAACACACTGAAGTGTTTGCGTCAATGTTTGATCACATTATTAAACAGAACTTGGCTAATAATCGGTCTCATTCTCATGGATTTATGAGAAAATAGTCTACAAAAAATCATTTGCATTAGGTGTTCGAATGTTCTCGTTAGTGTTTAGGACTGAAAAGTGTTCAGTCTTTTCATGTCATATGTGAATCATGTGGGAGTTGCTACGATATTGCCATAGGGTCACAAAAAATAAAAGCAGAGTTTGTTAGTAGCCAGCAATGAAATCCATGACACGCGTCACTCGTTAGCT